TATTGGCTGTTATAGTTACAGACTTATCCAAGAGGAAGACTGTTAGATTAGGTGTCTAAGCCAATAACTATAATTGGTATAAACTTGAATTGATGGTAGCACAATCCTTTTAGGTTGCCCTCACACCTAGCAATTATACATGATTATTTTGGAGAGAGAGAATGATTTATTATTTGATTAATAAATTGAAATAAATAATTTGTTAATATATTATGGAAATAATATATTAATTAAAAATAGTAATATTTAATTAATATTTAATCAGAAATTAATTTGGTGATTAAAAGAATTAATTGAAAGTGCAGAGACTAAAGTGCAATTGTTCAATAGTTGAGCAAGAGGCATTCTACAACCCTCCATAAGGTTATAGACGGTTTTAAGGAGCCTAAGGGTTTCTAGAATTATCCTTGGTAGATAATTAGGAAGCTAGATAATTACCCGGTTCAAGATAATATTATTATATTGGGTTTGGGCTTATCTAGGGTTTCTTGACTGTACTATAAATAGGCCTCTAGGGCTATGAATTTCGACACTCCTAAACCTAGAAGAGATATGGCCGAAAATCACCTCCTCCCTCTCCATAATCCTTAGTTGCTAGTCTTGGGTGTGAACCATCAGAGGCACGACGCCTGTGGTGCTAGCTGCCAAAAGATTTGAAGAAGGATTCAAGGTTGTTTGCAATTACAATCTTCAAGCTATGTTTCTTATTCTATTGAATTCGATTATCATAAGAAAAATTTTGTAGGATGATAGTTCATAGTATGTTGTCTATATGTAAAAGACATAGATCCTCAATAGGTTGCATGTTCCCTAATCATTTGAACTGTTTGAATGTTTTACGCTTAGTGCATAGAAATTTTGTAAAAAAAAATTGAGAATATGGTTTTGGAAAAAAATTTCAAGTTTTTACGAATCTTTGAGTTCTCAAAGTATTTTCTCTCGCGCTCTCTCTCCAATAAGTTTATATATATATATATATATATATATATATATATATATATATATATATATATATATATATATATATATATATATATATATATATATATGGCAAAACCTAATACTATTATTTTAGGAGATTAGGTAACTAATTACCTAATGTTGTCCTAGTGGTGAATATACACTTTCTAAAGTTTTATACGGTGTTTAAATTATAATAAATTAACATTTAGAATGATTTTATAAGTAGAACTAGGTTAAAACTCGTGTGATACACGGATTGACAAATTAAAATAGCAAAACTAATTCATAATAAATGGTTAATAAACATAAACGAATTACCAATATTATATTTTAAATTAAATTTAAAAGATATACACTATAAAAATCAAATAAGCCTTATACTATATGTATTGACAAAAACAAAATTTAATTTAAAAAATATCAATAAAAAGTAAATATACAACACATACATACATAAAACATATACAAACCACACACAGACAACAACACATACTCACAAAATCATTACATTTGTGTTGCATTTCTTTATTAACTTTAAAAAAATTGAAAGTAGGTTGTTGTAATAGAAACGTAATTGAAGGTATAATGGTATTTGTTGGTTGTTATGAAATGGTTGTTTAATGGAAACATACAAAGCAAGTTAATATCAATTAAATAAGTTTCTAATACAGTTTAAAAAAAAGCTACAATGCACAAATCAATGAAAATATAGCATTCTGCACAAATAAGTTTACATTATTGACAATTATAGTAATATACTTAGAAAGTACATTGCTATTTTAGGGTAGAAAGGATAAAAAGTCATAATAAATATATTGTATAAACTGGTAAAAGAAAAGTGCATTGCTATATTATGGTTATATTGCGATATTAAGTCATTGTTAGTTATAAAAAAGGGTATTATGGGAAGTTTTCAAAAAAATTTAGTAATTTGTAAGAATAGGTCTTGTTTGAAAGGTCCATGTGTTACTAACTTTACAAAAAAGGTCCCTTTGTTACTAACTTTACAAAAAATCTCCATATTTTTAAAAATTTATAAAAAATGTCCCTGTTTTTTCAAAGTTAACAGAAATTATCATTACTTTAGTTCATTGAGAATAAAAATAACTGTAAGATGCTATATTTGACAAAGGTAATAAACTGAAAAGAAATAAACATAAATGGTCCCTGTTTTAATATGAAATAATTGCAAAATACATGAATGGTCCCTGTGATACTAACTTTCTAAAAAAACCCATGTTTTTAAAGTTTTATTGAAATGGTGCCTGTTTTGTAAGAATTAACAGAAAGTGTCAATATTCATAATTTTAAAGTAAACAACAACGTACTTTGTAGTGCTTGTCTAATATATTATCATTGCATTTTGAATAAAAGTAATTGTAATATGATATATTTCACAAAGGTAATAAATAATGAACTTGAAAGATTAAAAAGGACGATGAATTATGAATTTATTATTGATAAACTATCATTACTTTTTTTGGCTTATGAAATAGAACCATACTTTGCTTCAAGTTGTTGAGAGGTCCTTCCACCAAGCACTCATGCTCCTTGTCTCAACATAAACAAAATGATATTTATTGGGGGAATGGTTTTATTGTCTTTTCATAGATGTTATAGGGGATGACCTTATAGTGCATGAGTAAGCCATTCCATAATGGTTGTTTACTAAGAACTTTTGGATTTACAAGAATCACAATACCATATCGAGCACGAGTAAGTGCAACATTAAGCCTACGTGGATCATTCAGAAACCCAAATACCCTAAAACACACAAGCAAACCATAATTAAAAATCTCATCACCCCATTATAAACCCTAAACTAAATACAGATCATAGCAATGGGTAAAAATTGTATGTGTTGTCATTTTGTATAAAGAAAATGCAAGTATGTTGCTATTGAGAGTTTAATATTTGTTATTATTGGGGGAAAATATTAACCAACCTGATGTTCGTTACTTCTAACGCATGACAAAATAATGTAATCTTTTTCCCTCCCTTGGAATGAATCCACACTTGCAACCTGATTATACATGATGTAGCTCATAAATTATATAAATTTATGAACAAATGAGAAAAGAAAAATGTGAAATTACCTCAATGTCCTTGTAAAGCTGTTGCGTAAGTGCACCGTTTCTAGACATATAATTAACAATATATGCACGCTGTCCTTCGTATGGTGTTATAACCCCTATCTGTATAATATTTAAGTATAATAATAAATTAATTATATCCTATCAGTGCCAATTATTTTTATAAAAATATATATACCTGACATGGAACTACACAACTTTTTAAAAAAGTAATCACTATTTTTTCAACATTTGCAACAATTGTTCTGTTAATATAGGATGTCCCACTAGCACTTATTTCTTCTTGTCCCATCTTACAATATAAAATAATTAGTGAACTCAATACATAAAAGAACATTAAGATTTAACTTTTAAGACAATTTTGCCCTTGTCACGCATACCTGGACATAAAAAAACATGGGGCGATTTGGGACAGGCCATGGAAAATCAATACTTGTTGATTGCCTTTCGTTTATGGTAACTCCATTTTGGAGGGTACCTTCGTAAAAATTATTCATACGATATTGCACCTGAAAATTTTCAGATGGAAAAAGTCAACATTTTTTTGTTTTGTAAAAAGACGTATTTGCCCTTGTCACACATATTACTATTTTTTTAAAACATCTAATCTGATTGGTTTTACACCAAGAAGCACAAGTCTACCCTTGTTCATCTTTTAATTGTTGACGCTTGTGAAGTTCACTCTTTTCAGATGTATCAAGATGGCGAACCTTAAATGAAAACATATAGAATTCAAACTATTAAAAATCAAGTGTGTAAAAGTCATAAATGTATACAATTTGGAACATTAAGAAAAAAGAATCCTGAAAGAACCATAAAGCAAGAAAAAAAGGCATATCATCGACCACCTTCTAGACATGACAATAAATCATAACATACAAAGATTTCAACGCCAAAGAAATATAAAACATGTAATATATAAATAAATCAAAAGTATTATACATGAAAATGGGAAAATCAAAATATCATAATAATACCTATTCCCATGTTCATGGTCATTTTTGTCCAAAGGCTCAAGTAAATGATTGAATCTTGAAAATATCTTTCACATCTTTAACCCCTTCATCATACAAAAAATTGCCATTAATATTCAATAAGGTATACCCTGGTTTACAATATCATCATAAAAAAGACTTAGTTACTACTCTCTCCAGTGTACAAACATGACATGATACAAAAGGATTAAAAACAACTCTCTGGTTACTCAAAAAAATCTTACACATTCTTAGATAGCAAAGATAACTGATACAAAAACTAACCGCATGATGCCAAACGAAGTAGTAGGAAAAGTGATGTCAAAGATTTGAGGGTTTGCTTGAATCGATCGGAAATTTCAGGGGCGGACTCGCTGAAAAAGCCGGTTTGAAATCGCATCTTTTACTTCATGGTATTCCAATTTTGATTTGGGTTGGAATTCAAAGATTTAACATGTTGATATAGGATTTTCATTCCAAATGTTGAAGATAATTATAAAAACGAGTAAGAAGGATTAGCTTTGGCTAACACGTGTTGAGATTGTTGTGTGCCTTCTGTACCTTCCATGGCGTTTCAATTGCATAAAAGAAGTGTTCCATTTTGACGACCTAGCTTTGTAATAAAATAAAAGATGCGATTGAAGATTAGTTTTAGAAATGATTTTGTTCCTCATTTATTCTTATCAGTTGACAGAAAATCGCTGAGTTAGTTTCTGATTTATAGCCTTCAAATTTGAAACTTGATAAAAATGTGTTGATTGTATGCGATGGCTAGGGAAAGTGAAAGTTGAAAGGGCATCGGGGGAAATTCACTTTGGTATTTTGACCGGGAAAAATCGATTATGGAGGGCTTAAAGAATGACACGTGGCAAAAATCTACTTATTTATTAGATTAGGGGATTAGCATTACCTTCAACGATCCAAAACACTGAAACAACACAGGGGCTGGACTGTTTTTCATCATAGTAGAATGGCTAAAATGCAACATTTTCCGTACTTCTATTCTGTTACCGTTACTCCACGAAGAGGCTCCCAGTCTCAGACGCCTGAATTTTCGTACAAACAAAATCCAATTCGAAAAGAGAGAGAAACATCAAGGTAGAATATCTTCATTTCTAAAAGGAGGAAATCGTTTGTTAAAGCTTCGATTTTTACAGGAATACGTATAATATATACCCATTTCCTTTTAGTTACAGAGATGGTTGTTCCCTTTTCCATGAATTTCTAGGTTTTTGTTTGAAATGGCAAGCTCAGGTCCGAATGATGAAGTTGTTTCATTGGAGCTCCCTGCACCCCCTGGCTGGAAAAAGATGGTTCTCGCTTTCCCCTCTCTTTACTTGTAATTATCATATTGTATCCTAATCATATATGCAGGCATGATTTATGTATTTTTTATTACATTTCTGCTTACTTTTCTGTTTAAGTTCGTGAATTGGGTTCTGGGTGTAGCTCAACTTTGCAAAAGGATGAGCTTTTGGTGATAATTTGGTTCGATTTTGGTGGGTTTCGAAACTTAGGGCTTTTGAGCATGCTCTTAAGAAATTTTGGTAGTCTTTTTGTTTTTCTATCTTGTAGATGCATATGAATGCTACTTTGATTTATGTGAGTTCCTTTGATCTTCTACTTACATTGTTGCTTAATTTTGTGAATCGGGTTCTGGGTTTTGTTCAATTTTGCTAGAGGTCGAGTTTTGGGGGGTTATTTTGTTTCGATTATGATGGGTTTTTGAGCTTTTGTGGTTTATTCAGAGAACCAAACTAACCTACTTTGTTACAACTAAAAAATAGTAATCTAGAATCTAATGATTATATTTGAGGGTTGGGTTTCCTTCAATTCTTCTTTCTATTTTGGTAACTCCTTTTAATGATTCTTGAATTAGTATGGATACAATCTTTACTCCCACCCAAAAGTTGATTTCTTGAATTAGGGTTGCACAAAAACAACAATGACAAGTGATTGCCATTTGCCACTTTCGTGTGATTTTTGTTCATATGTTATTTAAGGCCAAACAATAAAGTATATGACATATAAAGACAACTTAGTGGATGATCTTTGTATCTTATATGATGTCCTTGTGAGAAAAAAGGGAACATTTTTAATGTGGCATTTAAAATTAGCTAAAAAACAAAAGATTGCAAAATTTTCCGTTTTGGGTAAGGATATAATTGAAATCTACTTCTTGCTCACTAATAACTTGTTAAATATCAATAAAGATTACTCTATTTTGCCCTTGTTGACCGAAATTTTCGATATTTGACTATTTTTGGATCTAATTTTTGGATTTACATGTAGTTTTTGCCAAAGGTAGGGGGGACACCAAAGAAAAATGAAATTACGTTCACTGCCCCTACGGGGGAAGAGATCAGTAACAGGAAGCAGCTGGAGAAGTACTTGAAAGCACACCCTGGAGGGGCAAAAATGTCAGAATTTGATTGGGGAAGTTTTGAGACCCCGAGAAGGTCTTCAAGAATCAATGAGAAAGTGAAGTCAACTCCACCATTACAAGAGACCGAGCCTATGAAGAAAAGGGCTAGAAAGTCTTCAGGGTCAAAGAAGGGTAAAAAAGAGAAAGAAGATGTCCCTGAACCAATCACTGACATAGATGTTGAATTGAAGGAGGCTGAAAAAGATATGAAAGATGACGAGAAACAAAAGGAAAATGACAAAATTGCCCCTGAAGAGGAAAATGACGAAATCGACCCTGAAGAAACCAAAGGAAAGGAAAAAAATGAAGATGAAACCGAAGAAGATAGTAAGAATGGTGAAGAAGGTAAGAGTGTAGAAGAGGTCAATGAAATCCCAAAAATGCCCCTGTTGGATGAAGCTACGAATAAGGTCAACGAAGAGAAACGAGCTGATCATCATGCTGCCATAGCAAACAACGAAGGAGAAGCCGTGATGCAGAGCAAACAGTAGCAGTTACAGAGGCTGAGGGGCAAAAGGGTAATTTTGGGGATGTTTCTGACAAAAAGGTGGAAGAAGAAGAAGGGGAAATGGGAATCAATGGTGGAAAATGGTGTCAAGCCGCTAGGGCATTAGGTAAGTATGTATTTATGTAATATTGTTATGTAAGAAGCTATCTTTGTGTTGTGGTGTTGTCAAGTTGTCATGGTTTTGGTGGTTTGTTTTGAGCAGGTTTGACTGTAGAGCTCTTTTTTGGTCCTGATTTAGTTGAATGAAAAGTTAATACTTAATACATATTAAAAATGATTACAAAAATTTGCATAAAATAATTTAAGAGATGTAATTATCTCTATGTTTTGGGTGCCTTTTAAGTTGTTTGAAATGTTTCTTTTCTTTTTTGATATATTTTGGGTTACCTTTAAATTATTTAACCGATGTTTTCTATAGGCAATTTTCTTTATTTCACTTGCTCCTCCACATGTTAGAAATAGATATTTAGTTGTACATTTAGAGCTTACTATTTTACTTCTCCTAAAAAAGTATACTGCAGATTCTCGTTTCAAATTGAGTGGTAAGTAATGAATGACATAAAATGAAATTGTGACGAAATTAAAATTAAAATTTTGTATTGTGTTGTGTTCGTAGCAAGTATAAAAAACACGACGTTGTGTTCTGTTTGTATTCAAACTCGACACGATATTAATATGTGTTTGTCGTGTTTTTCATTTTTATATGATTAATTATAAAGTAAATGAATTAAAGGTTTATTTTTATTTATCTTTTAATGTTTGTTATGTTGAATGTTTTTATCGTGTTTTAATTGGAACGTTTTTGTTTTACTAAAGCAAAACATGACGTCGTGTCGTGTTCGTATTATATAAAAAACTGTCGCATCGTGTCAACTAAAAACACGACACGACTGTCCGATTTGCCACCCATAATTTCAAAATAGTCAATTTTCGAACTAGTATTATTTGTCTTGTATTTATATTTTCAGAAAAGTAGTTTGAACAGTTTTTTTCGAAATAGTATATTTCGAATTAGGATTATTTGTCTTGTTTTTAGCTTTTCCGAAAATACTATTTTTGAGCTAGGGTTAATTTGTGATTAATGTAGTTAGATGTCTCTAGTTATATAATATGTCTTCTAAACTTAGAGATTATGAGATTATCCTCGGCAGTAGTTGACCAAATAACAACCAGTCATCAAACAAAACCGATTTGGTTCATATATGAGTTAAAGCCCATCGACCCTAAATAGGAACTATTGTGTAACATCACGATGATGAGATATTTTCAATTTTAACCCTATGTATGAAGGAATATTGCATTTTGACCCTTGTGCATGAGAAAGATTGCGTAAATGGCCCATAGTGGCATTTTAGTGATTTTGGCCAAAGACTTAGTACGCTAGGCATACATTGTGTATGTTGGGCGTACTTGGGCGGACCTTAGTACGTTGGGCGTACACCGCGTACGCAGGGCGTACGTAAAGGATCCTCAAACACTAATTTTTAGGGTTTGGTCCATATATAAACATCCTTAACTCCTCATTTCTCATTCACTCTTCAGCCTCCACTTGCCATTTCGTCCATCTAGAACCCTAATCCTCCTTGAGAGTGTTCTTGAGCTTTTGTGGGTACTTTTGGTGATTTAGAAGGAATGAGAAGAAGAGAGGACCACCTTGGAAGAGTGAGGCACCTTAGATCCAGAATCTTATCACCATTTGACATCATTTTAAAGTAAAAAGCTTTGAACTTGATGATGGTTTGTTTAAGATCTTGTTAGCCTTGAAGTTGTGAACATTTTGGTCCCATTAGCTTGGCATTATGAGTATGGGTTACTTTAAGTCATGTGAGGCATCCTTTTAGACATTTTAGAGTGTTGTGATGCATAAAAATATGATCTTGAGTTTTGTTTGTAACCCATGCATGTGTTAGATGATCTTATTGTGTTAAGAACTTAGGGTTTTGAACATTTAGCACTTTATAGCCATGAAAAGTCATAAAGTTGGAAACTTTATGACTTAGGACATCATTTTGGGCTTGGATATGAGTTTTGGACGTAAGAGCTTAATGAAATAAGCTCTTAATGGAGTTTTGGGACTGGGTTGAGTACGCTGGGCGTACCTGGTGGTACGTTGTGCATACGCGATCAACACCCTGTTTTTGGTCAACATCAGAGTATGTTGGTTGTACTCTCTTGGTATGCAGGACGTACTCCGCTGCGAAGAAATATTGACTTTTGGACCTTGACCGTTGACTTTGACTTTGACAAGGGTTGACCAAGTTTGACTTGAGGGTATTTTGGGTATTTTGAGCTATAGTTAAGCCTTGATCTCTATCTGTTGAATAGGTGACATGTAGGGCTGGTATTCAGAGCAATGTATTGTTCAGCTATTCGTCAGACTACGATGTGAGTTTTTCCTCACTGTTCCGTGGTTCGAAGGCACCAAGGTCGACCCACTAGATTATGTATCCTGGTTATATAATAGTTTTATGCTGGTATGTGGCTGAGTAGTAGATCTGTATGATTATCTGTATTTGCTGGTTTTGTGATATTTATCTGTTGCACATGTCAACATATTGTGTTGGGTTGAGGTTGTACTGCTTTGTGTTGTAGCCAGCTATGAGTTGAGGGACCGATTGACATGACAGACTCATACTGAGGACTCGGGAGCATTCCATATATGAGCTGAGGTCCCGATAAGCATGTCAGACTCATACTGTGGGCTCAGGGGTAATCCATACTTATGTAGATGACATTGTAGGAGTATTCCAGACATAGGCTGTGGACCTAGTATACGTTGTTATATGTTATGTGTTTGGTACTTTGGGAAAACTCACTAAGCTTTACCTTACAGTTTCAGTTTATGGTTTCAGGTACTTTAGAGGATTGTGGGAAAGCAAATGTATGATCGTACACAACTTCCTCTTCCTGTTTTTATAACATTAGGTCTTGGGAAAACTCTGATTTTGGAAATAATGTTTTTGAAAACAATGACTCTTTTGTAAACAAAATGGTTGATTTTGAAAATTTTAAATTTCTTGATTTTTGGTATGTTACATATTGGTTAGGCAATGATGGATAAGGAAGGACCTCAAGATTGACGACTTTATGAACAAGAAGCGGATCCCCGACCATGGTAGGTTGGTCGAGCCAAAAGCCGAAAAACATTTGCCTAAACATTTTTTCTTGTTCGGGAGTCAACTTTTTCCTTATAGTAGATATGAGTGAATCATATATTAGTTAATGTTGTAAAAGGATAGAATATATAAACTACCGTGGTTACAAAATTTTCACATTTTCAAATTTTTGAATATAAAAATTTCCTTTAACATGATTTTTGAACTATTTTTTTAACAAGTTCATAAGTTTCGAATTTCGATAATCTCTTTTCTAACATGTATATAATTTTTGAAGATGCAAGAAAAAAAAAACAATTCTTATAGAAATGACTTATATACTATGTTTGTACGCCTAGTCGAGCAATACGAAAGTTTTTCAACGAAAACCCATAAATAAACTTAAATATATTGCGAATATTGAAAACACGTTTGAAAATCCTCAAATTTCATAACATATTTTTCGCGTTCGCAAGTGAGTTTTCCATCGATTAAAGTGAACTAAACGGTACACATTACATTTTATATGGTGAAAATTTAGGAAACCTACACGTCTATCAATTCTTGAAGATTTTTAGACATCGATTATCTTTATCGAAGATGTGCACTTTGTTAGAGTTTGAAAATAATTTTTGAAAAAAAACGTGAAACACATTATTACAAAGAAAGGGTCATTGGTTTAATGGTAAAATTAACTTTCTTTAATTAGAGGTTATGGATTCAAGTTTAATTCTAAACATAGATAATAATTAGGAGTAAATTAGTTTTTATTAAAAATATAACATATTACAAGTTTGATCGATAAAGATGTTTGGATTTTTGTATAGTTTAATTGATAAAGATGTTGGATTTTTTATGCAAGAACGTTCACCGACCCAAAATGATCAACCAACTACGAAACGAATATATTTATTGGAAAATAAAGACCAAAGTTCATTGCAATTTTCTATAATTTATCCCATATAATAATAGTCTTATTTGGATTTAATTTGCGCATGACCCAAATAAAAAATTGTCAACCCATAGCTAATTATGCGAACCATGTTTTTCTTTCTTTTAAAAAAAATTATTTTATCAATGCGAAGCATGTATCAAGTCCATTTTGCTGTTCAAAAATAAACATATGAATTCCAAATAACCTAAACACGTTTACCTAGTTAGCAATTAGACCGATAATCTGGATTTCGCACTTCTGCTAGCGATTCATTCCAAAAGCAACAGATGGCAAGTTCTTGGAAATTTTCTTGAAAACAACAAATATATTTATTGGGAAGTGAAGTGGAATCAATAATTAAAAAGTTTTGATGATAAATTTGGGGCCTTTTCTAGTTTGTATGTTTGTTTTCATGCAATCAAAGCTCTTTAAGGATCAAAGGATGACATATGGGGTATATGGTTTGATCAAAAAGCTTCTTTAATTGCCATCTTTTTAATAAAGTAGTTGTTGACGAATAAAAATAAATTCAAGAAAAAATTGAAAATAAAATATGTTCATTAGGTGGCATATCAAGATTCTTTTCTTCGTGAGCTATCACTCTCTTGATCAATGTTAAAGCACCTTTAATTGGTTTGAAGAAAACCCACTAGACAAGATGACCTCATCAAAATGTTTGATGTTCTTGTTTGGGTTCTCACTTTAGCTTATACAATGATTCTACAAGAACATAAATCTTATGTTCATTTCCGGACATAACAAATTATTTTGGTTGTTTCGTGTTAACTTACTCGTATACATCACCATTTTGAAATACGTTTTTATTTTGGGAAATTGACTAATCTAACTATTTTTTGTGTTTTTTTTAAAATAAGCAGTTAAATTTTATTTTGAAAAATAACCATTCGGTCTGGAATGTCCATTCCGGACCCGAATTCTGAAATGGGTAAGTGGGTAAAATGATATGACCCGGTGATATGGTCCCCTATATATAACATGTCGGACCCCTTATTCGTGTAATCATATTTATCTCTCATCCCATTGCATTCATTAAACAATATGAATATATACATAATACAAAGAGTGAGACCATCCTACAAAAGGCCACAAGAATGGAGATAGCCCCCCCCCCCCCCCCCCCCCCTCTTTTACATTATCACATTAGACGATGGTAGCATGATGCGGTGAATAATGAAGCTCAAGTAGTCAATTTCGAATCCATCATGTCTCAAC